TCAAAAAAGAGGGAACAGCAGAGAGGAAACCTCGATCAGGAGGTCACAACAGCAAATGATAATCATTTCAACTTAGAGCTAAATACATTCTTATTGTTCAAAGTAGAGTCCCATATTGTAAAGAATCAGTCATTCAAAGAATAAATCAATAAAGTTAATGTAATTAATGGCGAAATCACTTCGCTAACAGATTAAATAAGGCATTAACTCACTGACCACTCGTTGAATGACGCGATCCTTGTTTCTATTAATTATAAAATTGATTAGATGTTCGGTCCATATTGCAAGTACTTTCGGTTAGCATTTACCATCCTCACACATAGATGTTATTTTTTTTCAATTTCACGTAATTTCGGGTAAAATTTCAAGAAGAAAGTGAATGTGATATTTGTCGAAAGATGTTTTTTTAAAGTGTGTTATTATTAACACTTAAGAATTTTTGAGCGTGTAGTATATTCTTTACAATACACACACACACACACACACACACACATATATATATATATATATATATATATATATATATATATATATATAAAACATACTGTATAGTTCAATATATTTGAAAGAATATATTGTTTTACGACCAAGCCAAATTCATCTGTATTCTTTATCTGATTTTGCCACACTGTGGCAATATAAAGTCTACCAAGAATAGTTATATATTGTAAGAGTTTGAACGCAAATTTCTCGTGGCTGAACTAGCGATCAAAGCACTTTCCAGACATTTTCGCCTCAGTGGATTATTTTCTTTCTAAAGCATTTTACCTAAAAAATCAAATTAATTCTGATATACTGATGAAGTTCTCTTAATATATCCCCGTGATACTAACTTACCGGATCTTATAGATAAGCTAAGCAAAACTGAATACATAATAGAATTCACATCCGAAATATAAAAAAAAACCCAAAAAACAATACTTCACATTTCTGAGAGATCATGTTACACTCGCTTGACAACAGCCTAGAACTGAAAATCACTCAATAAAAATGATTTTATAAACTTCTATTCACATCATAACAAAATAAATTCCGGAATGATCATTTGATTCTATTTAAGAGCACACAGAATTTGCAGCCTTCAGTATTTACACGGAGAGGAGAAATATATTGGAAATGCATTCAAAACCCTTCAATATACTAAGAAGAAAAGGCTCATCAAATATTCCAACATAAAAGAGTTGTCCTTCATGACAAACCCAACGAATCAAAAAATATGTTATTCTACCCAGTAACTCTGCCGCAGGTACAACCAAAAAGAATTTATCTAAACTCAACATAAAATTTGTCACAACTACATTTAAAACAATCAAAGACTTAATCAATAAAAAACAAAGCATTCAACCAAAACTTGAAAAAGGAATTTACTCTATCAAATGCAGGGATTTCTATAATGACTACATCGGAGAAGCCGCAAGAAGTTTAAAGAAGAGACTATATGAACACAAAAGGGACATTTTAAATAGTAACAGACAAAACGCACGGGTTGCTCACCATAACAAAACGGACCTCAATTTTGACATAGGGAATGCTACTTTGATTAAAATAGAAAACAATCGCCAGTGACAAAAAAATGTCTGGAAATTCCTTTATCGTTAGTTTAGCCATGATGAATTTAGGTCCAGGCTCTATATATCACCATTATTGTTAGATTTTATAGTGTCACAATGTGGGAGTGTCACGGACAAAGGTGATGGAGAGAAAAATAAAAAGAAATGAAGAAATAATACAGATGAATTTGGCTATATTGAAAAAGAAATATTTAAAAAATATTCTTTTAAAAAAAATAGACGTGACAAAATCAACAAAACGCAACAACGGATGAAACGCGTCACAAAAAACTTTTCCATATATATATATGTATGTATGTATATAAATAAAAAGAAAGAACAGTAAGATATAAAATCCGGTGTTCTTATAGATAATGCTTTTAATTTAATTGCAAAATTAAATTCGGGGTTTTTAGCTTCTATTTTTGAAACATGGTTGGAACTGTGTAGCGAAAAAAAAAACATATTTTAAATCAATTAATTTATAATATATATGTATGTATGTATTATTATATAGGCCACACTACAACATGTTTGACACGCAGACTCACTCTACACCTTTCTGACTGTAGCTCAATTAGATCTCATTTAAATATTCATGGAGACCTACCGGAAAATATTCGAAACATACATGTTGGCAACACGAATATAATAGCATCAACTACATACTAAAAAGGCTAAAAATAATGGAAGCCTTATTAATAAAAACCAAAAAAAAAAACAACACTTAATAATATTAACTTTGAACATACACACAGTATCTTCACGTGTTTAGAAAAATGAAAACATTTTATAAAACATGCATACAACAAACTATTTCTTATTTAACAGTTGAAATATTTAATTTTTGAAAATGGCTAAATGTATAGCCGAAAGCGCTCGGATAAAAAGAACATTCGGACAGTTTCTTTTATCTTCCGAAAAGAAAAGAATTATTAGATCGCATGAGAAATTGTATAAAAAACTAAATCAAAGCACCTTGTCTGTCGTATTCAATGAAATGTGTATGAAAGAAGGATTGCTGCCTAAACACACACACACACACACACACACACACACACACACACACACACACACATATATATATATATATATATATATATATTTTTTGAGTATTGAGTATTGGCGTGCTTATCGACATCTTCTGCATGAAATGAGCCCTATGTTGGATCTAACGAGACGTCCGTAGCCACCGTCTGGTAGGAGAGCTGTGGCTTTTCTCTTGGGCTGTCTTCCTCTCTTGTATTTGTCTTTTGGTGTTTTTCATGGAGTGATCTCCTCCAATTGTTTTTTTTTTCTGCAGCTTCAGTCTCTCAAGCGATCGGATCGATTTCTGTTGATCTTTAAATCGACGTCGTGAAGCGCCACGTGGTCTCTTGCCAGATGCGAGCTCCGAGAAGAAGTTTTGTCTCCGTCAGTGAATTTCAGGCTTTCAGGCAAGGTATCCAGCCCATCGAATTCTATTTTTTTTATTTTTGAGTCATGATGATTTCTAGGTTCTCCATCCATGCGCTGAGGAGAACTTCATTGTTCATGATCTGGTCCTGTCACGTGTTCCGCAGGATTTAGCACATTTTCATTTGATGGAATCTCTCAAGTTAGCGGATGTCTCTTCGATAGATTACCAACGTCTCACAAGCGTACAAACGAGTCGAGATTACAACAGCTCGGTAGTCCATGAGCTTTCTGTTTTGTGTTAGCCAAACATTGCCAAAGACTACTTTGAATACATTCCCGTACGCTGCATTGGTGGGACTGGTTCGGTTATCGGCATCTTTTTCAGCGGATGCATTTGATGTTTGCACGCTACCAAGTATGGAAATTGTTCAACATTCACCGGGTCCAGTCAGTTGACTCCATGTGTTGGTTGATGTTCAGGTCTTGATTGAACCAGGAGCCTGGTTTTACCTATGTTTATGATGAGTCCCTAACGCATGTATGCTCTGGGGAAGTTGTCCGCTGATTTTGAAGGTGAGGGGTCTTTGAGTTTATGGACAAGGGTAACAGTTGTCATTGGCGTATAGGGTGTCTATGATTTGTGCGTTTGTTGTTTGGAACTTTCAACTATAACTTTTCAGGACAAACTTTTTATAAAACCTGTCACGAGGTTCTGCATATACGAGCGTTTTCAGCTATTCATTTAGCCATTATCAAGCACGACTTTAATTAATTTTTTGTCTTTAACTGATTGTTTCTAATGTTTTAGGAATGTTTTTATTTTCCAAACACGGTCAGTACATTGTGTCCGTGTTTATAGTTAATGTTACTGAGTGTTGGCTTTTCCTTTTTATTATAAGTGCTTCCATTATTCTTTATATTTTTACACGCGGATGAGGCTATTATATTTGCATTTTCTACTAGTATGTAGTGGATGGTGTTTGTTAGATTTTCCTGTGTGTTTAAATGAATCCTAATTGAGCTATGATCGGGTGGGTGTAAAGTGTGTCGTCTAGACAGGCATGTAGAAGTATGGCCAATATAATTAGTTTGGTTTGATCAGGAACATAGTTACTTAATGGTCATTTGATCAGGAACATACTTAAGGGTCATTTGATCAGCAACAGAGTTCCTTAAGGAGCATTTGATCAGTAATATAGCTACTTAAGGGTCATTTGGAGTCATAAATAATTTTGGCCCTCTGTATTGTTATTGATTATGATAAGGTTATCTGTTTTGATTTTTGCGTCGTAGATAATTTAATTTTCTTTTTATGGTCGACAGGGGTTGTATATTTTTTTTTATATTTCTAAGAGAAGATTCGCCTTGCACAAAGGTAACATGTATTTAGCTTTTATAGAAGATGTTAATGTTGTCTTTATCTGTATGTAAAGTATTGCTATTAGTCAATTTAGAAAGGAATATTCTCACCTGGTGGTCGGTGTTAGTATTGTTAAGTAACATTTGTTTCACATTATTGGGTTATATAGAGAAAGTTGGCGAGAGGATGAATACGCGTGTTCTCTCTTGAGAAAATGTTTTTTTTTTTTAAATGAATCTTTCCTTAACGTAATTTGAACCGAAACAAAGATTAAATTGTAGGGACATGAAAAACCAGAATTGATGAATGATTTACACAAGGAGATCATTTGAAGTAAGGATACCGTGTCTTAAAAAAAAAACTATACTGCTTCTGTCCGTTTTACGTTTCAGTAAGAATGCCGGAGCTGTAAAAGAACTATTAAATGTGCATGGAATTCTAATACTTGTCGTTTATTCACTTCTTTTTTAGGATTAGAACCACATGAAAATCTGTCAGAAAGATCCAGAGAAATAATTGCATTGGGAGACATTTGCATACGTGATGCATAAAAGCACTTCAAATTTGAAAAGAAGTATCGTAATTTGCTATTCTCGCAGATGCTAAAACCAACGGCAGCATTAGGCATTTCCTTATATAGAAACTCAGAGCAGCCAGTAGAGATTTCCATTAAAATTTATAAAGTATTTCTATTAAAACAAGAGATAGATAGATAGATAGATAGAGAGAGAGAGAGAGAGAGAGAGAGAGAAATACTGACATAGATAGAAAGATAGATAGATAGATAGAGAGAGAGAAATACTGACATAGATAGAAAGATAGATAGATAGATAGAGAGAGAGAGAGAGAAATACTGACATAGATAGATAGATAAAGAGAGAGAGAGAAATACTGACATAGATAGATAGATAGATAGATAGAGAGAGAGAGAGAAATACTGACATAGATAGATAGATAGATAGATAGATAGATAGATAGATATGAAAAGGCAGACGAAGCTAGGGAACCAACTAGCTAGAGAGAAACATAGATATGAACAGGCATATAGATATATTTGAACAGACATAGAGATAGATATGAACAGGCTGAGATAGATAGATAGATAGATAGATAGATAGATAGATAGATAGATAGATAGATAGATATGAATAGACAGAGGAAGCTAGGTAAGTAACTAACTAGAGAGATACATAGATATGAACAGGCATATAGATATATTTGAACAGACATAGAGATAGATATGGACAGGCTGAGATAGATAGATAGATAGATAGATAGATAGATAGATAGATAGATAGATAGATAGATAGATATGAATAGGCAGAGGAAGCTAGGTAAGTAACTAACTAGAGAGATACATAGATATGAACAGGCATATAGATATATTTGAACAGACATAGAGATAGATATGGACAGGCTGAGATAGATAGATAGATAGATAGATAGATAGATAGATAGATAGATAGATAGATAGATAGATATGAAAAGGCAGAGGAAGCTAGGTAACTAACAAGCTAGAGAGATACATAGATATGAACAGGTACATTGATATATTTGAACTGACATAAAGATAGAAGTCTTTGGTTTCAATGGCTGCTGTTGCTGATTGTTGCCCTCAGCCTTCTTTATTCTTCTGATTTGGTTACATCTGACTATGATCTGTACCCGAACATGAAAGAACACTTGGCTTTTGATACCATATTTTTGACCAACAGGATGAAAGCTTCTTCGCCAAAGAGATCGATGTACTGCAACACCTATTTATGAAGAGGGGCTATGTTGAAAAATGAACCGCATTTTATCACATTCCATGTTATTATATTGCTAAGCATGTGAACCTTTCAGCTGTTTCTCGTATTATTCTACCATGTGACTGTATCGGTTATGCAATTACACGCTTAAAAATGTAGGAGCAAAATCAGGCTTCAAACTATTATTACAGACTGTACAAATTGCCGGTGGTCTCCATTCTCCAATATGGATGTGAAATGTGGACACTGTTGGCAGAAGCATAGAGAAGGATTGAAAACAAATGCATGAGAAAACATGGCATCTTCTATTGAAAACATACAACCAATGAGTTTGTGCGGAAAAAAGGTTGAAAGATTGTAAGCCACCAGCGACCTATTCTTGCCGTCTGTCAAACGGAGAAAAATGACGTGGTTTGAACACGTTTACAAGAAACGGCAGCCTGTGAAAGAACATCACTGGAGGGCACCGTTGACTTGATTTCTAGTCAAACTTGATCTTCAAAAACTTAAATGCAATGTCAATCGTTATCTTCTGCTTTCTTAATTCTGCATGGCTGATGCTAGCTTCCAGGAGAGTGACTCGTCGTGTCTTCTTGAGCTAACTTTCTCGGCTGGCATAAAGTAGAAAGATTATATCGAATCCATTACGCGGTCAGGTCCGCTGCTAAGAAAGTTGATTCCCTATGTCTCTCCTGAATCTATCTTATATATCTATAAGTCTACAATGCCTTCACAGTTAGAATATTGCTGTCACATATGGTTTAGAGTTTTTTATAAAAAATAAAACGAGATGTCTGCAATTTGACTATAAAATGTTGGTAATTATTGTTGGTAATTTTTTTTTTTTCATATACTTTTCAAGAGCTTTGATTTTATCCAAGGGTTCACTGTTTGCCCAGAGCTGCCAACTGTTTCATTCACTGCTTTGTCATCCTTTCTGCCTATTACAGCCGACAATTATCTATCTATCTATCTATCTATCTATCTATCTATCTATCTATCTATCTATCTATCTATCTAAGTCTGTTCATTATCTATCTATCTATCTATCTATCTATCTATCTATCTAAATCTATCTATCCATCCATCTAAATCTGTTCATTATCTATCTATCTAAATCTGTTCATTATCTATCTATCCATCCATCTAAGTCTGTTCATTATCTATCTATCTCATCTATCTATCTATCTATCTATCTATCTATCTATCATGCCTGTTCATTATCTATCTATCTATCTATCTATCTATCTATCTATCTATCTATCTTCATTATCCATTCATTATCCATCTATCTATCTATCTATCTAAATCTGTTCATTATCTATCTATCTATCTATCTATCTATCTAAGTCTGTTCATTATCTATCTATCTATCTATCTATCTAAATCTGTTCATTATCTATCTATCTATCTATCTATCTATCTATCTAAATCTGTTCATTATCTATCTATCTATCTATCTATCTATCTATCTATCTATCTAAGTCTGTTCATTATTCATCTATTCATCATATTCTATCTATCTATCTAAATCTGTTCATTATCTATCTTCATCATCTATCTATCATATTCTGTTCATTATCTATCTATCTATCTATCTATCTATCTATCTATCTATCTATCTATCTATCTATCTATCTATCTATCATATTCTGTTCATTATCTATCTATCTATCTATCTATCTATCTATCTATCGAATCCCGTTAAAAATCGGGAAAATTAAATAGGATTAAGAAGTATAACGAAAATCTCCATTCTGTGCAAAAGTAGGATCACAGAGACATCACTTCAATTTTGTTCAAAAATAGGATCAGACGAACGTCACATTCAAATTCCCTCATTAACCAATCAGTGACGTTGTCTCAAACGTCATTCAAGCTTTGAAAAAGCAGGCTTTCTTGTTGGTAGCAATAAAAATTGAATTGGGAAATGTATTACTCAACCAATAAAATTTCCAACTTTAGTAAATATAAAATTTAACTTTCTGTTATCCGTTTCTTTTTAAAATAACTTAAAGTAGTCTTTCAGTACATTTTCGAATGGGAGATGTAAATAATACTGGATACTGGAATTTTCGCATACTCAAATTAACTTATATTAAGTTTCTTCTTGCAAATTATTTCTGGTTTTAAATTATAAAACATTTTGCGCATTTACATTATGAAGCTATCCAAGCGATATGTATAAACAAAACGTAATTGTAGCAGTAGTAAATTAGTTTATCACCGTTGATGATTACATTGTACACACACACCTAAAATAACGTAACTCGTGGATTTTAGCTTGATGAATTCATAAATACGTTTCATCCTATACTAACACAATTCATATCTTTTGTGTTGTAAAAAGAAAACATTTTTCATATGAACTTTGTTTACAAGGGTCTTTATATCTTGTTTCTTTCAACATAAAAGAAAACAATGATTATTTCTATACTCAATATAAAAAATATATATATAAATTTGTAGTACAGTGTTTTAATTTTTTTTCGTTTTTAGGCACTTTCTCTCAGCCTCCTCTCTCTCCCCCTCTCTCTCTTTCCGCTCCTCCTTCCTCTCTCTCTCTCTCTCTCTCTCTCTCTCTCTCTCTCTATATATATATATATATATATATATATATATATATATATATATATATATATATATAATTGGTTACGAAGAACTTGGTAAACTGAATGGGTAATTCCAAGGAGGATGAAATCCTGAGAGCTCAATGTGAATACAGAGCTAATATTTAATGAAAAATAAGACCACTTTAAGGTACCATTATAATAATTTATTCAAAAATCCTTTTAAAGTTTCGGATCATCAGGTAACACTTCCAAATAACTTTCATTTCGTTGTTGCAAGTGTTACCTGATGATCCGGAGTCCTTTTTAAAAGGATTTTGATGAAATAAATAATTGTAATGGTACCTTAAAGTGGTCGGTTTATTCATTAAATATATATATATATATATATATATATATATATATATATATATATATATATATATATATATATATCTTATGATTTGATTATCGTGGTGAAGGCTTTGCAGAATGTGTTGGTGTCTGGCTGTCGGTTCCCAGGAACTGAGCTACTTGACCCCATACGTCAAATCAGGAGAGGAGAGTCCACTCTACATTTTATTAGTTAGAAATCAAATGCAGATCAGATATGGATTGGAATTCGACAGAATGATAAAATAAAGAAAAAAATAGGAAACGTATATCAATCTGACATGTTTCTCTTTTATTAAAGCTTCGTCAGAGATTGAGAGAAAACAGACGGAAACATTGGTATTTTCAAAACTGACCCAAACATAATTGAAATTCCCAGTGTTTTTGTCTGTTTCCTATTTGTTCTTTATTTTATCATATATATATATATATATATATATATATATATATATATATAAAATATGTTATTCTATCACTGATATTAAGCGCTTTCCAATAAGTACCGCGTATATATAATATATAAATATTATATATAAAATATACATATATATATATATATATATATATATATATATATATATATATATATATATATATATATATATATATATATATATACAGAAAAATAACTTTTATATCTCAGAAAAAGTTGAGGAATATCTATGAAAAGGTATTTTTTAGTGTCAGGCGTTTCGTCCTTTAGGACTTCATTGCCTTCAAGAGCTGCATACGTTGATGCCATTACTTTTATAATATCAGCATCCTCTCTAATTTTGTGCATGTGTAAACACTATCTTTCTTAACTTGACCTTTGGCGCCACCTTTTACTATTTCCAAATTGTGGCAGACGACACTTTTCCTCTTTTACAATACCTTCACTTTCGTTTTACCACTGCCACTATGTTGTTCAATTCTCGTATTAGGTAAAAATCCTAAAATGTTTTTCTTTTAGAAATAACTAACGAGGATAAACGGCGTTGCTCGGAAGATCTCTGAATAATAGTTTATAACTGACAATTTATTGATATTTTTAAACCGTTTTATGGACAGTATTTTTTGTTTGTTTGTTACAAAATAAATAAATTTTAAAAAATGCTACATTACAAATACCACTCTCGGACGGGGCTTAGGGCCAAAACATACCTATAATTTTATTTAAAAAGACAATTTATTTTTCGATTGGAATACTAACATAAATACTCTGTTACACAACTCAAACATATAAAAATTCATTAACCTTTTTTATTAATAAAAAAGTAAATATATTTAAATTAAGATATATTTAAACATATTTAGTTTAATCATTTTTTAAGCAAAAACAAATAGTAAGCTTTACTTCTTTAAAAAATAATTATTTAGTATTCATTTAGGAGGGAATTTAGATTTTTTTAAGTAAATAAAGTTTTACTTTTAAACATTAATTACTAACTATTGGGAAAAAAAGTAGAATTAAGAGAATATTTTAAAATTTCAAGTTATATTTGTATTTGAAAAGAAATTTATTTTAAAAAAAATTAGGAAAGACATACATGACTTACCGTCAACATTAGTCATGTTGAATTTGTTTTACGAATTAATTATATTTTATTCAAATTAATTTCCAAAAAAAAATAAGACTCGCTGTTGTTTTTTGCTTTAATAAAACTTAATTGAAAATTATTTATTTTTAATGCTAGTTGCAAACCAAAAATCGATGAAGTTTCTTTTTAAAGATTGTATGAGAAAAATATATCCATAAGATGTCCGAAAAATATTAATATTAAGTCAATAACACACCCACACGAATATTGGAATAAATAAAAATTAAACTTTATGTCAAATAACTGGATTAAATATTCTTCTACTTTTAAATTTACTTTGTTATATTATTCATTTTCTTTTCAAGTTACACTTTATTTACTATAGATTTAACAATAAATTAAGAAGAATAGAAATTTTAAAAATACATAAATAGCTTTTAGCAGAATTAAAATGTAAAAACGAATGGTAATCCTAATCTTGAATAAGAATTATTACCGATCTTTTTTACTTTTTCATTCTGGGAATCTCAACTACATTCTAATGCATTTTAATTTTAAAATGTCTTCGTAAATACAAATCATACGATGATAATTTTTCGGAAAAAACCCGGCTTAGGTGATAATGAGTCTATATACATATTTACTTTGTCATCCGT